GAAACAGTACTATATAACATTTTAGACACATTCTAGACAGTTTATCAGCTAAAAAAAGTTAATTTTGGGGTAAGTTACTCTTTAAGATAAGAAAGTGCAGCATCTTAGATAATCCTAAACTTCAGAACTACTGTATACTTAGCACAAATAGTAAGTTTGGTAGATCGTTTCTTTTTTGTAACAATACTTCATGGCAACAAATCTTATACTGTTTGAAAGCCTGTTAATTTCTCTTTTAAATGATGCCACATTTGTAAGGAACATGCATTTGTGGGATGAGCAGTAGAGCTGATTATTTGGGTTGCACACGTGAAAACAGCTTATTTTGCTGCTACTGACTCTTGTTTTGAGCTTCTGGTACCCCCAGGTGCTGCCAATCAAGTGCCAGGTTTAAGATTCATTGCACTGTTACGACAAGGAAATAACCTACCAAAACACAAATGTCCTTACATCTTGTGCCACATTTATGTTCAACTTGAAATTAAATATTAAACAAATGTTCTGTGTCTGCTTCTCCATCGACATCTGACCTGGTTTAATCAGAGGTAAAAGGGGTCAAATCTTTAGATTGCACTGGGAGCTGATCAGAGGCGTGCCACACACCCATATCATCAACAGTGCCAAGCAGGTACGTCCTCTCAGCCATCCTGGTCATCTGGATGAGAGTTATTTCCAGCCTGTCTTGCAGCCTCTCAGCTACACGGGTGAAAGACGAAGCGCACCACACAGAAAGGCCACGGGAGTGACCCAGAACGAGGTACCTGCCGTCCTCTGAACACGCCAGGCAGTTCGTGTTTTCTGGAAGCTGCTGAGGGGAACAAAACTGTTCAAGAACTCTGCAATTTTTTTTGTCAAATTATCTATTATCTTTAATGGCATAAAAACTAAAGGATAAATGAGCCTGTAACGAGTCCTGTGTTTAATATGAACAAATAATGTGTAAAATGACAGTTGATTTGTTGCTCAGTCTGTGGGGTACCTGAGCCACAGCAGACAGCTCCATCAGAGGCGTTTCTCTGGAGTTCACTGCTGTCATTTTCAGTTTCCCTTTAAAAAAAATAACGTTAATTTTACACAAAATCACCTTGGGAGACAATTAATCACAAAAGTATACATAAAAACACTTAGGTGCCATTTTATTAACATGCCCGTGTGGCTTATTCATTCACAACTTCAGCTTTTATGATAAACATCATAACTAGCAACAAGTGCGCATGCGCGAATCTATAAAAACTGGTAGATTTACCCAATGTATTTGCTCTAAACTGATTCGTTTTTCATTTAATATCACATATGAGATTTCTCATGAATACCTTTAAGCTATAATGTTTTTTGAGGTTGTTACATTAGCTTTATGCGCTCAAGTTGGCCCAAGTTTCACCGCTCCGACTTGAGTGAATATAGAAAATAAATCGTTCAAAGGACAGGTATTTTGATACAAATATCGGTCTTGGTTCAGTTGGACTCAACAGCCTCGGGTACATTAGGTTTATTGCTGAAAAACATCTACAGTGGTCTTACTTTTTACCTGGAGAAAATGTGCGTCGAATCCTGAGCGAAGCCACTAGCTAAAAGTCGCCATGACAACAGACTCACGTGCGGTCTGACTGCGCATGCGCATCCAAATGATGGCAGCTACTTGTGCTAATGCTACATCAGCTYAGAAGTTATTGATAAATAAATCAATCAATCACTGAAACAACACAATTAAAATGACTGAAATTAAAATTACTATCCATCCATCTGTTAATCTAGTTGGCTCTTTCTTCTGATGTAATTATTTTGCTCTAAAAATATCAAAGTAATCTATGGAAGACAATTTTCACATAAACAATACAAAAACCACCGGATGGCAAGTTATAATCATGGGTTTCAAAGTTGTAACAAAGTCACAATAGTGAAATATAAATTTATATTTATAATTTTTAAAGCTTTGATATCGCAATACAATATCATTATTTAGTCAATTTTAATACAAAATCACAACAAAATAATACAAAATATTTATTAACTGGTCCTAATTGTGATTTTGTATTTTTTAAAATAACCAACATTTATAATTAGAACTAACCTTGAAATATAGTTTGAGCATCTAATTTTTCTTTTTAGTGAATAGGCTTCCAGTGCTTCCCATCTGGATGTGAATCAAAAATAAAATGTTTCTAACTTTATCTAACAATTGCTAGAATAGACTTCAATGCCAACATTTCTAACCTTGGATTTATTTTCATAAAATAAGATGTGGGTTAAAATAAATGGACAAATTAGGGAAGAGCCACTAGTGTTAAATAACAATCAAAAGGTMTTGTTGTAAAAACCTGTTAAATATTCTTAATCTTTGAAGAAAGCTGCAAAGGTAAATTGAATGCAAATATGTAATTTGTATAATCTGCTAAYGAATTTCAAAAAGATCCATAAAACATTTTTAGAGTAAAGATCTCATTGGTGTCTTTATTACTGTAAACTTTTTACAACAGCAAAAGGAAGTAAACATCTGTAAATCTCTTCAGATTCCTCCAAAATGAGGCCTCAAATCCAAAATCAACAAACAAAATAAACATCTTATAAATTCATTAATGTATATCTTGGGAATAAGATTGGAACAGATAAATGGAACCCATTTACGAAGCAGGTTAAACTTCAAATTCAGTGATGATTCAAAAGATCTAGTTGTCAAAGTCACGAGCTGATATTGGATTTCATAATTACCACCCACACTCAGAAAATAAATATTTTAATAAAAATGGCCTTTTTATAGCAGAAACCTCTGYGGGCACAAACCTTTCCACATTCAATAAAAAAAATGAAACATCAACAGGAATACCAACAGCAGTGCACAGATCAGTGGTATTACTAATGACGTATACTCAAATATGAACCTCAGCGATGTTTAAAAAGTACCAGAGGGATTATAAAAGCAACCAGTTAGCAAGTTACTTTAATGTAACCAATCAAACTGAGAACTAAATATTATTTATAAAGACAAAAAGACACTGGAGACATTAACTGAAAGGGTTTTTAACAAGGTACCAGTCAGATAAGGCAGATATGGTGTATTTAATGACCTGTTCTTAATGTTGGCAGGTTGGATTTGTTGAGCTAGAAAAGTGTAAATTTAAGGCCTTTTTAATCAAAGCTTTTGTGATGACATTAGGTAAAAAACACAAACTTTTTAATAAACTACAACCAGAACTGGCACTGATTATTACTTAAAAACTGAAGGCTACAACGTGCAGAGTTTGTTTCTGATAATCTCTCACTGTAGCCCTTCTGCTGAAATATAAATCTACTCATCTTTAGGGGCAACAGAATGATACTTGCAATGTTTTCCTTAATAAACACTTTGATAGAAGACCAGATGCTACAAGCAGACAAGTCCAATGTCAGAGGACGGAGGAAAAGATTGATTTAAAAATAAATACATCAGTAGTTAGAAGGAAAATTTTACACCTTTTTCARCCAGGTCCAAATACTTTCAAGTAAATGTGCTGCTAATTAAAAATATTTAAGCATTTTGGTCCATGTAGCTACTAACAAGAGGGGTAGTGGTGGGCACAGCTAACCAAAAAGTTAGCTTCAGTAACCGCCAACCCGCTACGTAAGAAATTAGCTTTGCAAACGCTAAACCACTAAACAGGTAACAAAAGTTAGTGGAAGCTAACGCTAACTGCTAACTCAAGGTCTGTTATTGAAATATAACAGAAATGTCAGAATCTTGGCTAAAAGGTCATAAAAAACATTTCTGTCCACATTTGAATCAGAACATGCTAAAGATGCTACATGCACACAAGGTGCATGACGCAGGTGTAAAAAACTGTGTGTGTGTGTGGGGGGGGGGGCAGTAGTTGTTTTTGTTTTTAACTTTAAAGTTGGCAGAACTAAATTTAGTGGAAACTAATTGGTCCACTTGTTGCAAAAAAAGTTAGCAAACGTGTTAATCTGCTAAACCAAAAGTTAGCCTCCCTATTAGCTACTAGCCGTTAGCAGATTAGCAGAACTGTGCCCACCATTGAAGATGGGGAATTTGGTTCATTAATAAATACTTTAGATGAACTCATGTGCTTTTTGGATACAAAATATACAATATCTACAAATTATTTGCAAAAAAACAAAAAAAAAAAGGAAGAAAAAATATGTGAATATGTTCGGAAACATTTTAAATGTTCAACTGGATCATATTTCCCAATCAATGGGCCTCGTGCAAGAACATGTTCGTATCCTTTTCCTAAATTTCTCTTACTTTTGTTCGTACAAAGGGTTCGTACGAACATGCCACGTAAAATTCAACAAATATCTTCAGGAAAAGTGTGTAAATGAGCTGCGTAAATTCCACCTGTTCGTATCCAGCTGCTCGTGCACTCGAGAGGAGATTAGCATAATTACCACCCCAAAAACACCATATAAGGCTATGTTTCCTGCCTCAGATACAAGGAAGTGTCCATTCATGAAAAATGACAGCGAAAACTAAAAATAGGAACTTTACGAGTTCAGAAATGTAAGTCCTCCTGTCAGAGATCCAGAAAAGAAAATCTGTCATTTTTAGCAGGTCAGCTGTGGAATAAAATGAGCTGCTAAATGTATAAACAACAACTGTGTTAAATCATTTTTCATTTATTCAGAAGCCACAGCGCGCACCGG